CCATCCATCCATCCGACCATCCTTCTGTCCATCCCATCCACCCATCTGTCCATCCATCCAACCCATCCATCCATCCATCCATCCATCCGACCATCCTCCTGTCCATCCTTCTGCCCATCCCACCCACTCACCAATCCATCCATCCATCCCATCCCACCCACCCATCCATCCCATCCATCCCATCCATCCAGCCATCCTTCTGTCCATCCATCCACCCACCCACCCATCCGTCCATCCCATCCCGCCCATCCCTCGTCCCCGCGGCGCTCCCGCGGGCGCTCAGGCCGCGCGTCCCGCAGTGCTCTCCAAGAACAACAAGCCGATCCACACGACCATCCTGAACCCGCACGTGCACGTGATCGGCGAGGACGCCGCCTGCATCGCCTACATCCGCCTCACGCAGTACCTGGACGGCCAGGGCCGCCCGCGCACCAGCCAGTCGGAGGAGACGCGCGTGTGGCACCGCCGCGACGGCAAGTGGCAGAACGTCCATTTCCACTGCTCGGGGGCGCCCGTGGCCCCGCTCCAGTGAAGGTGAGGCCGGAGCGCGGCGCCGGGAGCGGGGATGGAGCGCGTGCGCAGATGAGCCGGGATGTGGGGATGCTCGGGCGTACGGGACCGGGTGTGGGATGGCTGAGATGGGATGTGGGGTGCTCCAGCACCTTGGATTGGATGTGGAATGCTTGGATGTCTGAGCTGGGTTGTGGGATGCTCCGGCATCTGGGATTGGATGTGGGATGTTTGGATGTCTGAGCTGGGATGTGGGATGCTCCAGCACCTTGGATTGGATGTGGGATGCTTGGATGGCTGAGCTGGGTTGTGGGAGGGTGCTCCGGCATCTGGAATTGGATGTGGGAATGCTCTGGTGTCTGGTCTTGGATGTGGGAATGCTCTGGCATCTGGGATTGGATGCAGGATGTCTGAGTTGGGATATGGGGTACTCCAGCATCTGGAATTGGATGTGGGAATGCTCTGGTTTCTGGGCTTGGATGTGGGAATGCTCGGGCATCTGGTATTGGGTGTGAGATGTCCAAAGCTGGATGTGGGATGCTCCAGCACCCTGGATTGGATGTGGGATGCTTGGATATCTGAGCTTGGATGTGGGAGGGTGCTTCGGCATCTGGAATTGGATGTGGGATGTTTGGATGTCTGGGATTGGATGTGGATTGGCTGTGGGATGCT